TATAAAAATATAATAGTAACATCATAATATTAACATTCTAGTAACATCATAATCCTTTACTACCTTTTAAAAGTCCTGTGGTGTGAATATTCCTGGAAAAAGGCATGTCACCTTTCTTTAAAGAATAACCTGAGGAGATTTTTTTTTTAATTTTTTTTTTATTTTTCATTTCCTTGCAAATGTGCTCTGGACAGTACAAAACACACTGATGGAGGGAAGAGGACACGTGTGAGGTACCTGCAGCTGGTAGGACCTAAGTGACACAGCCATCACTTTTTCTGCCTTCTTGACCCTATTTCTCACAAAATATCAGCAAGAGCAAGGCAGTGAGGTTTTGGGATCTTCCCTCAGCAATCACTTAATTATGATTTTTGAGCCAAATGATCACAGAGTGTGCAGGGTGAGACAAAGGGACTGGTGAGGTGACCCTGCCTGGCACCTTGGATGCATTTGCCTAAAGCTGTTCTCTTGGGAAAAGCTCATCCAAGCTGAATCCACTGTGCCAGTGCACTTCCCTGTGGGATTTGCAGGGGCTCCAGACCCTGCTGATGCCACCACAAGGCTGCCTCTTACAACATTTCCACTTCTCCCAGTTACGGACATCATGGAAAAGAGAGGGTAAAAAACCCCAACACAGGCAAATATTTCCTTTTGTACTCCAGGGCTGTGGAGGTGGAACACGCTTTCCCCTGTTGGTTTTTCCTCATCCCTCACCTCTCTGTCCTCCTCAGCATTTCCTCCCTCTCCATGGTTACTCCACACAAACAATCTCCCCGCTGGCAGGGCTGATGTAACGCTGCCATAAATGCGCAGTGCAGATGCAGCGTGTGACTCCTCACTGTGGTGACTCATCTGGAGCGAGATGGTGACACCATCCCGGGGCCTGTGACTCAGCAAGCCTGGCTTGATGCTGAGCTCACACCTTCAGAGAGTGGAGGCACATCCCAGTGACTTTTGTGGAAAGCCAGAGAGTCCTGCATAGGTGGCCCCGATGGCTCACTCAGGAGGGAACTGGAAATTGGGGGAGGAAAAGTTGCAGTCGGCTTTGCTGTCGTGGCTGGCAGGGGGAAGGAGCTTAGGTAAGGAAGGGGTTGCCACCGTGATGAGATGTGGGATCCAAGCCTGAGCTCACCCAGGGTGAGAGCTCAGCCCTCAGACACTGCAAACCTGAAGGAGGACAGGCACTGCAGGCTGCAGGTAGCAGAGGAAAAGTCACTTCCCTCTTTTAGGGCAGAAAACAAGTCTCATATACAGTCCATAAACCATGAACTTCCTTGAGGTTCTGTCACTAACTCAGCCACAGCTCAAATGTGTCCCGAGTCTGTGCAGTCTCAGCACATTCAGGGTGCTCAGAATTCTCCTCTATTTACCTATTTTCCATTGATTCACAGACATGAGATAATCATTCACAATAATTCAAGCAGCCTGCCCCAAAATGATTAGACTTTCATGGTGAAAGATTAAAGCAAATTTTGCTCAACAATGTAATCAGTTACTACAATGGGCAAACAAAAGATAAAGCAAGGCAGATATGGCATGGGAAAGTTACTTGTGGAACTGATAGGAGCTGTAGGCAAATGCTAACACAAATGGAAATAAACCAAATGTAAAACAAGGAAACATATAAGCTTATAATCAAAAGGGAATTATAGTGTTTTTTTGTCTGGTTTTGGTTTGTTTTTTTTCTTAAAGGATAATAGGGAAATTGACTACTAGAAATTTGGCATAAGTGTTGTGACTAAATTTCATGCAAGGCTGTGGCATCTGCTGGTGGAGGACATTGTATGAATGCCAGCTTGGGGACAGGAATGCAATTGGGCCCTCTTTTACTTCTTAAGAAATAATTAAAAATATCCTCATCTAGATGAAACAGATGGCTACAATCACACCATTTTGTCTTAATCTGAATAAGGAAAAAATTGTTTCCTGGCTGCATGACACTCAAGCTGTTCCTCTTAGCCTTTTCCCCAGGAAAAGCCCCAAACACTTCACACCTTTGACATTCTCAGGCTCTACCTACTGGCCAGACTAGCTCATGCTACATTTCCCATGTAAAGATGGGATGTTCACAGAAGGTTTAGGTTTAAACAGGATGTCTAAAGCCCTTCCAGGTAATCATTTGTAGATTGGTCTGGTCAAGACAGATCCAACTTGTACTGACTCCACTGTTTGCTGAGCAAAGCTGGGCCAGAGCTGCTATGCCCAGCATGCTTGGGCTGGCTCACATTCAGAGAGCCCTGCAGCTCAGCTCTACCTTCATCCAGGCTTCTCTGCTGCCAATGAGCTTGGTTTGCAGAATGATGTTAAGATTCAGGATTATCCAGGGGCACATCCTTAGTCCCCAGCATCCTGCAGGGAAAAGGCCATGAGGTACCTCTGATTCTGGTGCCTTGGTACCTCCAGCTCTTGGCCACAGCCTGCAGCAGTGTTGCCTCCTTTTCAGTGAAGAACTGTTTCCAAATCTACATTGCCAAGCTCCAAAAGGGGTTGGCTCACAGCCTGTTGTAGAGGGGAGATAAAGTTTGATGGTCCCTTACGTGCCATGAAATGCTCCATGAAACTTGGTAGGGGATAGAATATGAAACTCCCTTAAACAGAGTCACTGTGACTGCCTGGGGAACACATTTCTCATTAAGATTGCTTTTGGTTTTGATGAGCAAGGGATTCTTGGAGAGCATTACTCCTCTTCTCTCTTGCATTTAAACCCCTCCTTCACTTCTCCACTGCACTGTATCTTGGCTGTTGTGGTGACACCGTTGTGGTGACCCCCTGTCTATCCACCATCCTCAGAGCAGCTGCTTTGGTTCCCAGACCAACTGTACCTTGCTGGATTCCCTTTTTGTGCCCATGCTCCTGTCCATGTTGTCAGGAGATGGTGCCTTCCCAGAAGAATGGTTCACTGGATGGAGATGGAGGAGCAGGAAAGCATCTTGCAATGGGGAGGGCAGAAGCCATCAGCTGCTGCCAAAGCTGATATGGTGCAGCAGAGCATGGGCTCCTTTTTGTGCTTCCCAGAGAGCAATCAGCAAACTGGGCAGGTGTTAAGTGGGCTTGGGTGGAAAAGGACGGCCTGATGCATAAAAACAGAAGGGATGAAAGAGGAAAAGCTGCCCTGGTAAAAGTGGAAGGGTACAGGCATCAGCTGGATTCAAATGCACAACTGGAAAATGTAATTAGGTCCTTGTGCTGTAAAATGGGCTGCACACATGCTGCTCCAGGCTGAGATTAGAAGGGGGATCTGGGAAAAGGTTAAGCACAGGCAATGCTGCAGTGGAAGCATGCACTTTCCAGAAGACACTTTCTTTTGACCCCAACCATTTTCTTGGTACATACAAGGCAACCAGAACAGTTTGTCATAAACCTGGAACAGATCTGTGCCATTCACTTTGGGTGGAGAGCTCAACCATTTCTAAAGGCTGGAGATCAAGTTTACAGGATAAATTGGGAGACTGAATGAAGGGGCAGACTCTGAGGAAAAGAATAGAGACAAGGAGGAAGAGAATTAACAGGTCCACCCACACAGGAGATAAGAAGGGATTAAGAAATCGAGCTGAAAGAGGAAAATATGTAAGCAGGGAAGGTCCCTTTCCTGGGAGAGATCCCAGCTTTGCATTTTCTGTGTGTCCTGTGAGGTCAGCTGCTGCTGCTGCTGTGTTCCTTCCAGAGCCAGGTGAAGGATTCATAACATTTTGTTTCCAGCATTCTTCTCCCATCCAGCAAGTAAACAGAGCACAGTGAGTACTGTGCTCTGGCAAAGCCTCCAAACTGGAGATAATCACCTGTCACTACCACCAGCCATTCCCTCAAGCTGCCAAGGGCTGTACCTTCATCTATAGGTTCAGATTATTCTCTCTAGACGTGGCTGAGCATCATCAGTACATTTCCATATAAAAGAGCTCTTGTTCTTACATCACCACTTTGATTTTGTTTGTTTTTGTTTTTGTCGTAACCTGGAGAAAATCCAACCAAGAACAATAGTAAGGTTTCAAAGCCAAGCACCCTGGTGCTAGAAGCTGCCAGAAGTCAGGCTGCTCACATCAGTTCAGTTTGATCTCCTATTTTGATTTCTTTTTACAAGACCCCGCATATTTCAGCAGAGGGGCCCAGCCTCACTCAGCACGCTGGTTGGACAGTGAGTCAGGCCATAAAGCAAACACTTTTCTCTGGTGATTAATGCACACTGTGGGTATCCAGGAGAGGTGAATTATAGTCTTGGCTTTGCTACCACCTTTTCTTTGATGTTGAGTTGGGTGAGATGCTATCATAATGGAACGGTACGGGGCGGCTGAGTTATGGTGGGGGCTCACCGGTGTGAATTATGGCCTTCTCCATTGTAGCTTCTTTGGTCTGACTTTTGAAATCTTTGTGTTCTTTCAACTCAGCTCTTTCACAGCACCCGTTGTCCTGGAGGACTGGGTAGATCCTTGCTCTTTTCTGTCCTCAAAAGTAAACAGCCTCTGGGTGATCTCTGTCTCATTGTGATCATTCTCCACTTGAGGGCGATGTGACCTGGTCCAGTGCACACAAGAGGCAATTTGGGGTGAAATTAAGATGAAAATAATTTGGCATCTAATGCTGGTGTCCAAATGAGGTCTAGGCTCTCTGCCACTGTAGCTGGTGAAGTCATTCAATAGAGCCAGGGGAGCTGGGGGGGGAAATCAGTTTTCTCTAGAATGGACAGGCACCAGCTGAGCATGTGAATCGCTCCCTGTGTCCATGGGGCTGGACTGGGGAGGGTCACAACTCCCTTCCCACCCCCTTTGTGTCTTTGAGGTGGGCTCAGAACCCTGATATGGGCTCCAACTCTGCCCCAGAAGGGTCTCCCAAAGGTCCTTGCTGGCACCAGCCATACAGGTGTGTGACAACCTTGAGACACGTCAGGTGTCCACTGAACAAACAAACCAAGGCCCAGATCTCTGCTCACCATTCTGGGAGCTCGGATATTTAGCTCATGTGCAGGCAGGGATACACAGCTGCCTACATTTAAGGGTCTTGCTTGCAAAAAAAAACTCTGCTCAGGGTTATTTATGTCATCAAAGGGAAGATGTGCAGCTGGGTGTGGAAATGCAGGACATTTTTGCTGCTGCATGCCCACCTCTCAGGCAGACTGTGACTTGTGGGTCAGGGTCTCAGATCAAGGAGAAGCTGATGAAGTTGACTGAAAATGCAGATGACTCTCCACTGCCACGTTTCACAGTGAGATTTTGATAGAAAATATGTGGCAACAGGGCTTTTTAAAGATACAAATCTTTGTGTTTGCAAAGGCCTGTTATAATCCCTATGGCGAGAAATGTATTTCAGATTTCTGCAATCAAGACATACACTCTCTTTTTGTTGTCCAGGAAGGCCACACTCCAGGAATATGGGAATATGCAGTGACTGCCTGATAAATGTTAGTTGATCTAAATAATTCACTTTAATTGTGTCTGGCTTATCTGTCAGGTTGATAAGCATTTATCTTTCTTGTTTGCAGGCAAGCAGGAGAGAAATATTATAGATGGAAACATTTCAGTCCACTTAAAACTACATGAAACTAAATCACTGTTACAGTGGCAATTGAAGCAGACATTTCTAATTAGCAGCAGCTTAAAACACAGCAAAGGTCTGTAATGAAATAAATAGATCACCATTGTCCCCAGCATTAGGGAAAGTGGTGTGGGGCACCAGCAGCATCGCAGCTCATGCATCTTCCTGGAGCCTGCCTCCCATGACGACGTTCAGAGTCTTCACCAGTTCAGTTCCCCCCCTAAAACAGTTTTTCAGGCATGTTACCTGAAGTTTTTGAAGCAGAGGGGTTCACTAAGTGTTGTTCTGATGTGGTAAGAGCTGCACACAGAGGTTTGGGTCTCTGGGGATGGGAAGAGATCAGGTCCCAGGTCTGGGAGCAGAGCCCAGAACTGCACACATTTACCTCCTTGGAGCCAGCTGAAGCTCAGACCTGTAACAAATGTGGGGTCTCACACCTCCTCTGTGGGTGTCTCTCTCATCTAATTCCTTGAGTCTGGTCATCTTCTGATGGCTGATTTAATAACACTTGGGCTGAGCTGGAACAGGAAAGGATTTGGTTTCTTTGAAAAAAAAAAAAAAAAGAGGAAACTGAAGTGCTTTCATTTATGTGTTAGTGGGTTAAGGAAATGATTCTGGGATCATTTGTTTCACATGTGCCTCTATCTCATTTCTCAGACAGACAAGGTACTGCTGTTCTCTTAGCCTTTGATATGGGACAAAAGTAATAAGAAGAGGGAATTTGTACGGGAAGAGCAAATTCCAAGGGGGAAATTTCAAACTGGCCTGCAGACCTCACTCCCTCACAGGATTGCAGAGGCCAAGAGCTGGACTGGGCTTGGGACCACTGGAAATTGTGCTGGCTCTGACACAGGTGACCCTTCCAAACACATTTTGAGGGGCTCCCAAATTTTGGCTGTGGTCTTGCGTTTCCTCCCCAGACACAGAGCAATAATTCTGCTCACCTGCATCCCAGGGAAGCCATCCAGAGAGCCCTGGCACTGTGGTGCTGACCCTCCAACCATCTGCTGGAAACAGCAGGAGCCTCCTGGCTGCCCTGCAGTGGGAAGCACACGGTGACATTCCTGCAAGAGCGACTTCTGCTGAGCAATTGCCCTGCAGAAGGATGATTTTATCAACTGTGTCTTAAAAACTTCCCCTCTAGAGATGAATGTAATGGGAACACACATTCCTGCTGGCCTGCTTGCTGCTGATTTGACATCATGCCACGTGGGGGAGGTGTTGGAAATAGGCAAATACTACAGAATTAAAAAAAAAAAAAATTGGAAAAAAAAAAATCAAATCACTCCGAGTTGAAAGGGAGGAGAGCCAGGAAAGGAAATACCTCAGGCAGAGAATTACTACTTCTGTATCAAAGCCAGCAACTCCTTACTTTAATATTTAACACCCAAGAGAGCTGAGGGGGTGGATGCTGAGAATGGGTGAAATTTTTCAAAGGAACCCAATTTCTGGTGATTTTCCTTGGGTACACTTTTTCTAGTAAGTATTAGGTCTGATGAGAAATGTGACTTTTGGTCATCAGAAGCACTTTTACACTTTCAAACTGCAAATTGCTGAACAGTTTCATCTGGAAAGCAAAGTGTGAAGAGCAGCTGAAAGGGGAGGTGGCATCAACCCCTCCCACCAAAATCCAGCCCTCATTGCTGCTGCTTTTCTCACTTAAAAGTCAAAGTGTTTAACTCTGGGTCAAAGGGAATGTTTAGCTCAGGAGGAGAGAAGGCAAACGGGGTAAGGTACCTTTTTGCAGTGTTTAAAGGAGGGATATTGAGAAGACAGCTTTAACAAAGGATGAAGAAATGGACACAAGCTGCATGAAGGGAAATTCACTTTGGGCATAAGAAAAAGCATCTTTGTCATGAGAGCACTGAAGCACTAGAGGAGAAGCCCAGGGAGAGTAGAGCAGTCTGCAACTTCAGAGAGAATCAAAACTCAATGGAGCAAGGCCCTGAACAACTGGAGATGACCTTGAACCCAGACCTGCTTTGATCGGGGCACTGTGCTGCAGAACTCCAGAGGTCCCTGACAACCCAAATTATTCTCCAGTTCTGTGAAGCTGAGATTGAATGAAATGAGGAAAAAAAGTTCCCTGTTTTCCTGTCATTCCTCTCCCTTCAGCACAGCTGGAGGCTGGCATTCATGTGCTTTGCCATGCTCTTTGCCTTTCATACTTGTGGCCCATACACGGTCCTAATATCCATTTCAGCTGCTTTGCTTAATCAATTAAGCTGGTTTGAAGTTATTTCAGTCCCCAGTGATGCTGTCTGCCTCAGAGACAGTGAAATCAATTGCCCTGCAACAAGAAGCACTCGTACTGCACTGCCAGCACTTCTGGGGATGTCTTTTGATGCTGCAGGGACAGGGAAGCAAGTGAGACAAGGGCCAGACAAGGCACCAGGTGTACATCTTACCAAGGGAAAGACAAAGGAAGAAGTTATTGGGAGGGTTGAAGCTGGTTGTCAGTGGGACATGGCATGTGCACAGGGATCTACTCCCGCTCTCTGCTGCCTTAACTTACCTTGCTGGAAGGAATGGTATCTGCTGAGGCTGCAAGGCTGGATCCAGGCTAAGGGAGGCCAATCCTGGCCAAACTGGCCAAACCAGTGTCATGACAGCTCACCTGTACCTGGAAAGGACCTACAACCACATCCTCTTCTTAGAAAGGAGAAATTTTATTTTATTTTATTTTATTTTATTTTATTTTATTTTATTTTATTTTATTTTATTTTATTTTATTCTTTTATTTTTTATTTTATTTTTTATTTTATTTTTTATTTTATTTTAAAGTGGTGTGCAGGAATCCAAGAGCCACAATTTAGTTTTGGGGCAGGGAGATGTGGCATCTTTTTCTTGGTGCCAACCCCTTAGGAATTTTGGAGGTTTTGGGTGGAGAACTCTTTTGGGGTTCTGGAATGGGGCTTGGACTCTGCACCAGAGGCAGGAAAGTGAAGTGATCCATTGCACCAGGAGATGAGAAGACAAATACATTTATGGTGCTTGTCACACACTTGTGGGGCTGCAGGTTTGATCCTACCCATTGCCTCCAGGGGGAAAGACCACAGACTGACTTTGCTTGGCCTGAGGTCACCTCCCATCCCTCACCTGGAGAGTTAGGAAAGAGCCAGGACACAGAGTTAAACAAAATACTCACTGGCATGTGTGTCTTTTTCTGCACTGGCAAAAGACTGGTTTGAGTAGATCCAGAAGGCTTTTGTCCCAAATATTTACAATTACACTGCTAAAAGGAACTGTCAGATGTGACCTGGAGGGCTCCTCTCCACCTCTTTGCCTGAGGGAGATCCAAAACAATGCAAGGGAGCTGGAGTTCCTGCCAGGCTGGTCTCTGCCTGGGGGAGGGATGAAAGAAAAAGAACAGCAGACAGCAGATGTCCTTGATGTTATTTAATCCAGCCTGCTGTGGGGGCAGGAGAAGAACCTGTAACAAATGGACCAGCTGAAGGTTCTGCTGGGAACATCTTCCTAGAGCTCTTGGAAAAGTCTGGGTCATGGAGTGGCCAATTCAAACCCTGACTTGCTGTGGGTCACTGCATCTGCTTTGACTTCACTGCAACCAGCAAGGAAAGGGGGAATGCTGTTCCTTTGTCATTTATTGGAGGAGGGTACATTTCCTCTGGCGTCTTTGAGTCCCCTGGTGGATCACAGGGAAAACTTTATTGCTGCCCAGTGCTGCTCTTCTGTGCTTTTCAAAAGAAATGGTGCAAAAATGTTCTTTCTTTTATTTGTAGAGTCTGTCCCAGTAGGACTTCACTGGTGTCTCTCCTCTTAAATTCAGAGACTTTTTCTTGGCTTAAAGGTAGCTCATAATTGACTTACAGCTGCCTCTCCACAGGATATTGCTGTATCATATTCCCTTTTATGTTGCTGCATTGTGGAAACATTCCTGTGAATTTTGGGGAAAAGGAAGAATGAAAAGGTGAGAGTGGGATACAAATCTACCTCCATTTGGTCCTGAGTCTTTTGCTGCTTACCCCAAGGATCAGAAAGGATCAAGCTTTGTCCTGACAGGCACTGTCATTAGTATGAGCTATTTAGTGATGTAGGGGACTTTTTTTGAGTCTAGATAAATATTGTTCCTGAAATTTTCTTGAAAACTCACTCTTGCTTTCGCAAGGGATGTTTGTGTCTCCTTGTCTGTTTCTAGAGGACAGTGAGACAAAGATCCTTGCATTCAGCCCTGGCTGCATTCCCATTCCAGCTCACGGTGTTACAAGGGCCAGTCTTGATTGCCCATGCAGAAACTTGTGTCTGCACCTTCTTGTGGCTTGCATCACTCTGTGGATTTACTGACCACTGAACAGTGAAGGAGAAGACAGTTCCAAGGCTCCAAACTCATCCTGTAAAAGCTTGAAGCGTGCTAACAAACCCTGAGCAGTGGGAAGACAATGCTGACTATATTAGCTACAATGCCAGGGGCTGGCCAGCTTCATTCATCAGACCAAAGCTGATCTCTGGGGATGGCCAGGGAGGCTGTTCCCCTGTGGAATTGGGTTATATGAGCAGGTGTATGGAGCAGGTTTATGATGTAGTGCAAGAGCAGCTGGAGGCCCCAGCACTGATCAGGTTTCTTGGCTTGGCCCTCGATTACACACCAGGGATTGCCAGCACTGCGTGGTCTGGCTCGAGTCAGATAAGAACACCTGCCTTCTCCTGCTGCCCTCCACGGATGACACACCAAAACTGGTCCCCAGGATAACTCTGGTGCAGCTGAAAGCTGTTCACTTCCATGGAGAGTTTGGTCTGGTGTGTTGTGTAGAGTCAGATCTTGAATTCCCACTGCCACAGCGACCCACGGTGAAGCTGCTGGATGCCATGTCTTCATCACACTTCACATGATCCCACTTCCCCTCCATGGCTTCAACTTCTACCTGACTATAAAAGGCTTTTTCCTTACATTCATCTGTGGGCAGATGGAGATTTTCTGGGATGTAGGTGCACGTGGACGTCATGGCTGTGGCTGTACCACGCTGCTTGGGCTTCTCCAGACTGGCAGCAATGCTTATTTGGGGCTGTTCCCTTCACCAGGCTCTCCTGTACCTCTTTTCTAATACATGGATGGCATG